TTCATAGAACATAGTTAACATAGAACATGTAGCTCTATGCTGTTCATCAGTGTAATGAACCATTAAAAGTCTTCTGAATCCAGCTTATAAGAAACTCTATGTCAAAGAGCTGTAATCAAAGGGGTGGGGGGAGTGAATGACATTTTCAGAAATTGCTGCTACTGCACCCTGTGGTAAACAAAGATAGTCCAAAGCCGATATTTTTTTGTCCTACATACGTTTTTCTTTCGAATGTCATTGGATCCTCTGAACTGAGAGCATGTTAAGTAACTGAAATATGAATATTGCTACATTTATGCTACAAGCAAGCAAACGCTCGTGTATGCTGAAATGATGTTACATGAAAGTCTAATATTATACTTGCATACATACATCTCTAAAACAACACCGGCTCCTCAAACTTTGGGCTACAACTGTTTAAGCAGCTTAACTCCCACATTTGACAAAGCTTGCTGGTTTTTGTTGCCAGTTGTCAGTTCACTGCACAGTAATGTTAGCTTGCATGTAGCAATAAGCACAAAGAGTAACATAAAATATGGAGGAAGTCTTTGAAAGTCTTTATCTTGGAATGCCAGTTTAGTGGAATATCTCGAGAAACACTTTAGTAACCTGTTGATCTTCAATAGCACCGAAATATCATTTCTTATCCACCAGAACAAAAAGTAAGACTCACAGAGGCCTTTAGGTCACTTCCCCCCTCAAACCTTAATTTAAACAGTTAGATGCTATCATTTCCTGGGAGTGACCCAAGAGAGATGTTTAAAATCGGACAGTGACATCATTTCAGCGCAAAAGAAACCACAAACCAAAAGTTATTTCCATCTGTTGTTCAAATGGCAGCTTTAAGGCATGATTTTGGAGCAGGTCTGTTAGTATTCATTTAAAATATCAGAGTTTATTTCCATTCCAACATCACAATGGTAACTAAGGGGCTCAAAGAAAAAGGATGAAATCATTTTCTAACAAATATTCCTGCACAGCTGTGTTATCTGTCCCAAATCACAAACTAGATCTAAAGATACCAACACACACTGAAGTGACACTTAGGCCACTTATACAGAAGCTACTTCTGAGTGGTAAGAGTGAAGCAGCACTGTGACGGCTGCAGCTTACACACATTAGCCATTCATACATACATTTATCGCTTTTTTTAATTTAGTTCCATGTATTACGTATTATGCTAGATGTTTGCATTGGTCATACCATGCAGAGGCAGTGTGTGTGAAGTCTTTTTTTGGTAGGTGTTATTTACATATTTCAAGCATTTTATAGCCTTTGTATAAAGCTCATTTGGATTTCAACTGAATTTGAGCTCTTTGTAAAATAAGGGGGCATCAAGAGAGGAGAAAATGAATCAACTAACAACATAGATCAGTATAACAGCAGAATAAGGAAAAATAAACTGCCTTTGCCATTAAACTGCCTTTGCCGTTAGGTAGCTAGTTAAGCTATGTTAGCTTCGAGAAACTCATGTTTGTTTGTCAACAAAATGACAGAATGAAAAACTATCAATCTTACATGAAGTTAATCAGGATCTCATTTTCAACCATCCAATAATGCATTTTCTGTATAATTTTTGTAAAATCAATCATTTGAAATGATGTTTAATATAATCACATGATGCTTTATCAGCCTTTCTAATGGTTCTTTCATGAAACTTGTTCCAAGAAGTTGACACTTGCAACGAGTTTCAAGTTCAAATTGCAAGACATTCTATGTAACTCAATTTAGTTTCATTTAGGTTTCAAGTGAATAAAGTTGCATGGAAGTTTCACTGTGTAAAGCCAGGCTTAGAGCTAATTGGTTCACATGTCGTTACCTTACACTATTGAAAATGAGTGGCTATTAATGTCAGGAGGCAAAATACAATTAAGCAACTTATTAATTTGGTAATTAAGGATGATGATGTAAAGGTCACTGAAAACCTTTGAATCTGCAGGGGCTCTTCACTTTACTGATGCTTCCCCTATACATTAGATAGAGCGAGAACTACAAAACTAAACAGGAAGAGCACTGAAGTGGAGCTGCTTCACTCAGAGGCAGGAAGAGTATTTGTCTCTGGAGTCTCTTACAGAAACATGCGCTTTCACTCACTCATGAGTTCTTTAATTCTCTTTGTGTTACTCCTCTGTATCTCAGGTAAGATCAATGCTGCATCATTCCTTTGCACTGAATTTGTGTTCTTTACACTTTCACTGCTTTAAATGCTTTAACTCATCCATGTCAGGGTGCAGGTGGACACTGACATCTTTGATGTGATAATTATAATTATTCGAATTATACGAATAGGACAATTCCTGTGGAATCTGTAACTGTTTACTAAGTGGCAAAGACACATTTAGGCATTCAAATTGTTCTTTAAGCTGTCTTGGTTCTATATACTCTCACTGGCCACTTTATTAGGTATATCTAAACTTGTTGTCCAACATTATCAGGTCTACTTACCATATAGGTGCACTTTGTAGTCTTACAATTGAAGAGCTTTCAAGATTTCTTTAATGATTTACGTTGTTGGGAGTCAGCTTTACACATAAAAAAAACATCAGTGCTATATTTTGATTAATACCACCTTTATTAGAGAAATATCAATTGCTCTTATTTTTTTAAAAAATTCATTACATCCAACACTGTAATGAATCCACAAATGGATTTACACCATTTTGGAATGAAACTATTTGAAATCACAGATTTCTCTGCATAATCTGTTGGCTGCTCTTTACTCTGATCATTAACGGTCAGCAACTCCACACTACAGTCTGTAATTGTTACATTGCATCTATATTGTAAATGTAAGGGTTCAGCCGGCCCCGCCTGCTGCCAGCAGAGGGCGACGACGGCAGGGTGTCCAGCCTGGGCCGCCTGCTGCCAGCAGAGGGCGACGGCGGCAGGATCTCCAGCCTGCGCCCAAGTATATGTATCTGCAGCCCGGAGAACCAGTGGGCGTAACGAATGGGCGGAGACACTGTCAATCATTTCTTGCATCGGCCAATCATATAAGAGAGATGGACTGTCAATCAAAACTTGCATTGGCCAATCACAAGTGTGAATTACCTGTCCCTCATTTTATGCATCAGCCAATGGTTTGAAGGAAAGCGCAAAAAGGCGTTACATGCTGTTCAGGCACGCGGAAGAGGGAAGATGGGAAGTTGCCTTAAATATCACCCAATTTCTTATTTCAGATCAACACATTATTATAACTATTGTTTAAACAGGACGGAGTTCATGCAAACACTGACTGACCATCACGCATAAAAGCATCAGTGAACTGATAGAACATGTTCTTCCTGACTTTGTGGGTAAATACATGAACACAGTATAGAAATATGTGCTCATATGCAGTTCTGACTGGCATCTTTTTCTGAGTTTATACAAACACTGCTCCCACCTAAACTTTGCTTGTTCTCAAAAGGTTATTCCACTTGGTTCCTAATGGAACTGTTCGCCGTGTTTTGAGTTAATGAAAATTTTAGGTCTCCGGTCTGCAGAATTTCCCCTTCTCACAACATCCAGATTACACGGTAACGTTTGGCCGCTTCTGCTTAGCGATTTCATCACTTAATCCATTTTCCGTCCAGAACACGGCTAGAGAGACTTTTAATACCTCCCTGCTGAAAAAAGTCAGAGAACCCATTAAAAGTGTCTGTTGGTTTCTGGTGGTGTCCAGTAGTCGCTAATGGTCTTTTGTGTTTTCCTGATGGATTGATATCACAGTGTAAAGGATTCCGATCGTTTAATTGTGTGTTCTGGGACTGATTCTATATGCAGTTGTTCGTTTCCTAAAGGTCTCTAAAGGCAACCATCAAGCCAATTCCCGTTAGGTAGCAAAACCATCAGGTTTTATTCCTAACGGTTCTAATCGTCTTCAGCTTGGCTTTCATAAGTTTCAGTAGCCTGTTTGTTTTTTCTGCTCATGAACCCGACATTGTTTTATCGTCGTGGTTTTATTTTTAAAGTTTCCACATTTAATTACCTCATAATCAGTATGACAGCGTTCATATACATTCAGTGTGACTCTTATTGCTCAGCAGTTCGTGTTTCACTGTTTTTCCTCATAAAACCAACAAAAGCCCTGTCGTGTCAGAGCGGCGCTGACGTCGTTAACAGGCTGGCGGTGCAGGTCAGGCTGAGAGTGCAGGTCAGGCTGAGAGTGCAGGTCTGCAGACAGACCCTTAGATTGGCTAATGCAAGAAATGACGGACAGCTCGTTCTAATCTGCGGTTGGCCAATGCAAAATGTGATTGACGGCCAAGAGTAGTTATTTAATTGGTTGATGCAAAACAATGATTGACAGACTCCGCCCCCCAGTTCCCGCCCCTTTAGGGCTCCGGTCTGCAGCATTCCCCTTCTCGCCTGCGCCGCCAGCTGCCAGCAGAGGGCGACGGCGGCAGAGGGCCATAACTTCAGGGAACTCCAATTCCCAGAAGTCCGCGGGCTGATTAGGCCCAACGCGACACACCTGCGGACTCCTCTACTTAAGGTCAAGGCAAACAGTGGTGTTTGTCACACCTTTGTAGAGAGGTGACCGGTATGGTACTTAGTGTCAAAAAAGAAACAAGAAACTGCCCCAAAACTAAAAAGAAAAAGAGGGCTGAGAAAAGAAATTGCCACAAAGCAAAAAAGAAAAGAAAAGAGGACTGAGAAAAGAAACCGTCCCAAAGCTACTTAAAGGGGAAAAAAAAGACTTCTTGAGCTACAATCGGCTCAGAGAAAATAGAAGAGGTGTTTGCTCCACCTGGAGCAAACAACTGAAACAAAGTCTGCCTTCCCTTCGTTCTTGGAGTGGAGGTGTTTTTTGTTTTCCGGTTATCTGTCGTTTCGCCTTCCTAGTTCAGCCTTTGTTTGAGCACGCTGCTTTCAGCGTCTCTTTTGTCTGCCGTTCGTCGTGTTCCCGCCCCCCCTTAGCCGTTGATTTTACGAAAGAACTTTTGCAGACCCCATATTAAGAGTGTAGGACTGAGGCTGTGGTACAATTTGGCTTCTTTTCTGCAGATTCTGAGAGCATGAAGACACTGAAGAATTTAGCTGTAAGACGTGGAGGATCTCTCAGTATTCCATGCTTTTGTGATGAGAAATACAAATCAAACCTTAAATACTGGTGTAAGGGGTATTACTGGTCCTTCTGTAAAATAGTAGCGTCTACAAACACAAGTGGAAGAACATCAGTCACTGATCATCCAACCCAGAATATGTTTACTGTGGAACTGAATAGTCTCCAAGACTCTGACTCTGGATATTATTGGTGTGCTGTGGAAATTGGTGGGACAGAGACCCCTGATGAAAAGGATTATTTATACTTGACTGTCAGTGAAGGTAAGGAGTCTCTCTGTGTGAGGCTGAACATGTTCACTAACTCAAAGCTTGTAAGATGTCATTTATGATTGAGGATGTGTTTACACCACTCATTCTCTGCCTCTTTATTCAGATCCTGCTGTGTCAGTGATAAACAGCAGAGTGAGTGGTCATGAAGAGGGCAGTGTCCAGTGTTGCTACAGCTTGGAAAATAAAGAGAAACAGAGGAAGTGGTGCAGATTTAAAGACGGGAGCTGCTACTCAGTGGGGAGGACTAACACATCCCAGAATTCAGCAGTGCTGGTCCTTGACTATGGAAAAGGATCTGTCAGTGTGGAGATGAGGGGTCTGCAGAAGAGTGATGCTGGCTGGTACTGGTTCAGTGCAGGAGATGTGGGGGTTACTGTTCACCTCAATGTCACTGAAAGACCTTCAAGTAAGATCCCATGTATCAGAAATATTGTTCATACCTGCAGATCATCAAGCTGTAATGTTGTGCCACTCACATCAAATTATTTATTCATTTTAACAGCAACATCAGCTGTGACTACAGTTTCTGCCACTGAGAAAACCAGCATTAGGAAAATTGACTGTTTCTGTCCTAGGTTCTAAAACTGTGGACAAAAATGCAGAGACAACAGCAGAGCTATAAGTAGTGACGTTCTACTTTGTTCAAAAACTGCTGTACTTTCACACCTCAATACAGCCTGATTTTGCTCTTTGTTTTTTGAAGAACAACTAACCCTCCTGCAGTAACAGCTGCTGAGAATGAACACGGCACAAGCAAGAATGGGAAGATTCAAGATAAGTATGTGAAATGCAGATGAGCTGATCTTTTATTAATTTTTAGATATGGTGTCCGTTCGCTGCTACAAGTCACCCTGTAAAACAATAATTTGAAAATCAGAGGCGTCAGGCTGGATTTTTTTTCAAACCACAACTTGTCTTTATGTATTAGCGTCACACGCAGAGGCTCAAAAAGAAGATCCAGCTTGATGTTTAGGTCTCACATGCAGAATCAACATTATACTGATGAGAATAGTAGATAATTCACTCACATTCTCAGAAAACACGTCGACCACCAAGTTTTGACTTCTTTTTGAATACTTTTTCAATGCTCTCGCAATCATCTCATTCATCAGCTCATTGAAAGGGTCTGAAACACAACCAGCGTTACAGAATGTTCTTCCATGTGTTGCGTGCAATTACACGATCTCTAAATCTTATTGAGAGTAGCTTGAAGTTAAACATACGTTCCCATGCAAAAAACAAAAAAAGACCAAGCCCAAAGCACTAATGGTTTTTACTGATGGTTTTGGCCCGGTCATCGTCCCAATATTTGGTCTCACAGTAAACACAAACTAGCTAAAAGGTAGAATACACCCTGGACAGGCCGCCAGTCCATCACAGGACTTAAAATAATCTTAAAATACACAGATACTTTATAAGCCGCTTATTCTTCAGGGGTCGCGGGGGGTGCTTGAGCCTATCCTAGCAGTCATTGGAAACATTCTGGTCAGGCCACCAGTCCATTGCAGGGCATAATGTAACCTATTGAAATGCGTAGATATTAAAAATTTAAAGTGATTAATATCTAAAAAATGTATTAAATAAGGTATTAAATGTGTGGATGTCCAAAGTAAAATAAGCTTGATTCACTTCAGATCCTTTTCTGTTCTTCATGCTCTTTAGTCCTTTGTCAGACAGACATTATCAACAGCAGTTAGGAGTGTTAACGGAAGATAACAAAGCAGTTTAAATTTCTGCAGTGTTGGACTGTTTTAAAGAGTAAGCTTAAACTGTGTAATATCTGCAGCTCCTGTGTTTCCACTTTTTGTCTAAACTTGCCCCTGTTAAATGTGAGCTCACTAGAGACTGTTCTACCACTTGTTGCGAGTGACGTGCTGCAGAGGTCTTAAGTTTTATAAAGCATTGAATATAATTTAAAAAAATGTGCAGCAACCCTGGATTAGCGTGTACAGCAAAGGTATTTGGTATCAAAATCCAAATAGTAATGCCAAAACACTGAAATGGGTTATATTGCTTTTTATTTGGCTTCTATGTAAAATGAGCAGTTTGTGCTGCTGTTTTTCACTGAGCGGTCTGTCAATCAAAAGGCCTGCTTCAGTACACTTCAGTAGCAGTGTGTGGTGCCCTCTATTGCAGTGGTCTCCAGCCCGGGTCCTGGAGAGCTACATGCCTGCAGTGTCTAGTTCAAACCACAATCAGCAACACCTGCTCCAGCTAATTAACCTGTCTGGCTGGATTAGTGCGTTAGTGTTAGGTAAGGGGAGGGGCAGCATGTTAGGGGCAGGTTGGAATTAAACTCTGTCTCCACTGTAAGAGACATTAAATACCCATGTAATATTCTTTGAATTGTATGTATGTGTGTATGCATACATATATACTCTGCAAGACATTTAAGTAGTGCAGTGCTGGAAGTGGTGTTAGACTTTAAAAATAGCTGTACTTTCACACCTCAGTGTGGCATATTTTTGCTCTTTGCTTTACAAAGTGGAAGAACTGACCATCCTGCAGTAACAGCTTCAGAGTAGGTAGACGACACAAGCAACAGTGGGAAGAACCAAGAACAGTAAGTCAAAAGCAGATGAACTGAACCTTAATTGATTGTACATTTAAAAATCAATGAAAACATTCATTATTTGGAACCATGTATGCTCTAACAAACTTGGATTAAAAACACATTACTGAAAGATAATTCAAAACCAGGATGTGCCTCTCTTTACTTCTCTTTAGTTTTAGTACAGCAAATATAAGCAATGCTAACTTACACACACTATGTCCAAAAGTTTGTAGACACCTAATCATCCAACGTTTCTTCTGAAATCAAGGGTTTAGTAGAGAGTTTGCCCCCCTTTGCTGCAGTAACATCTCTTTTGGGAAGGCTTTACATTAGATGTTGGAAAATTGATGGGAGGATTTGATTGCATTCAGCCACAAAAGCGTTAGTGAGGGTCAGCTACTGATGTTTTGCATGCCATTTCAGCAGTAATAACTTATGAGAATGTTAGTGACCTCAAGTGAAAGAAAGCAATAGAAGTAATTCACACGATGTGAAATGCTGATGAACTAAACTATTTGCATTGTGTACATTAGACACAAACATATCGTATTTGACAGCGTGTGTACTTTAAACATTTTAGATTAAACATAAGGTTTTCAATGAAAAATATCATTCATTGCAGCAATGGAAATACCATGCTCATCTGGGTTTTACTGGCTGTAGGCCTGGGCCTTCTGCTGATTTTGGCCATCTGTATAACCTGCATGTTGACAAAGTGCAGTAAGTATTGATTATCTCTCATTTTCTGACAGGTCTTTCTAGCATGCTTTTAAAATTGTGCTATTATAAAGGACAGAATTAAAAACTAATAATATTTATGCTGTGCTATCTTGTGTATTATGAATGTGTTATTACATAAGTACAATTAGACAACTAATTCATTAATATCTCACTGTAACAGATGGAACTCAAATGGAGACCAGAGAGAGGGTCAGTAACACTGCAGTTCACACAGTCAGTATTGAGGTTCTGGTGCAGTTTTGCTGTTGGTGCAGTAGTTAGTGTTGTGCCTCTCTTGCATCTGACCTGTAATTTTGAAAGCTTGTTTGTTTTTAGAAAATGAATATAATACTTTTATGGGTCCTTTTTGGTCATCTAGTTTTGACTTCATGTAAAATCACATTTGTTTGTGTGAGACACTTATGACTGAAAGCCCAGTGATGTACAGTGCTGTGAATCATAAAAAAAGCTAAGACTCTATTTTTCACACATCTGTACATCAGGGTGTAGACACAGATAGGCCTACACTGATCACAAGCCTACCCAATCAAATGCTGAAAGGTTATTTATTAAATTGCATTTTTTTGGGGGCAATTTTTTTTTCCCACCCATTTTCAAAGTTGCATTTTTTTTTATATCACAAATGCTACAATGGGCTTTGGCATGAACAGTACAACATAAATGGTCCATAAAAATTTCCATGCCTGCTATAGCAGTATTTAGACTATGATGATTAGGTTTAGGTGTTGTTCCTCTTCTTTGTACATCGCAGCTGTCAGATTTTACCTCAGTTATGTCGTCTTCATTGGGTAAAAATAGTGTCTGCAGTGAGTGGACACATGCTTTTTATTAAGTGTTGCACTGCCTAAACCACTGCTACATGGTATTTAAATACTGAAACATTAAGAGATTAAGTTACTGAGTGAATTATGTCCACAGCCTTCATCTGCATCGGATCATGAAAATGATGTGATCTACAACAGTGTAACCATAACTACCAAACAGAAAACCGTAAGTAAAAATACAGCCATTACCACCAGTTAAGTGGGCATTAGCTGGTTGAAAGCTAAGTGTTTTTGAGGAAAAAATGTAGCTTTGACCTCAACCTTATTAAGCATTTAGTTTAGCTGGTGAAAGAGCACTTAGAGTGGTAGGAATGAGAGATCCTCCATTATTTCTAACCCTGTCCTATTTTCCAGCTCTCTCAGGCAGTTGGAGATGATGCAGTGATCTACAGCTCTGTGGTTTCGGAGTAAGAGGTGAGAGAGTCTCAGCGTGAGGGTCAAAATATAACACCTGTGAAATGGCCCATGATGGACTGTTATTCAAATGAACAGTTCACAGAAAAAGTAATTGTACCCCAAATGTTGTTGATTGGCCAATGTTTGGTGTCCCAAAACCTACTTGGGTGACATGAGCAAGGCAAGACAAAAAAAAGCTTATTTATTTAAGCACATTTCAGACACAAAGGCAATTCAATATACTTGTGCTTAAGTTCTTAAGAGTGAAAATAAATAAAAGTAAAAAGTAGCTTAATGATTAAACAGGGAATTAAAAGGAAGTACAAAGTACATAAAAATAAGAATAACGTTTTTAAAAATATTAATGCGAAAGGGCTTAAATGTTTTGACTATCAGATTAAGGCTAAAGTGCAGTAAAAATAGAGATTTAGAGCTCAATCTTAAAAAGATGAAAAGAGCAATATTTTTAATATGCATTTAAAAATATTACACTTTGGGTCACATTTTAGATCTTCTGGCAGTTTGTTCCAATTGTTTGAAGCATAATGTAACTTCTGTTAACTCAGGGCTCCTGTGAGAAAATGAAAAAGCAAACCTGAGACAACAAACACATTTTTGCCTTCTAAGCACTTTTGGGGTCATTTGAAAATTGTGTGTGTGTGTGTGTGTGTGTGTGTGTGTGTGTGTGTGTGTGTGTGTGTGTGTGTGTTTTAAAAAAAACTTGTTTTTGATTACAGGTGTATGCAAATGTGTTTCTGGCCAGATCTCTTACAAAGAAGATACTGCAATGCAAGTCATCCGACAATTAATTTGTACTATATATTAGGAGGCTTTTACAATGAAAGAATGAAACCATTAAGACTTTAGCTTAAGATTTTTACTTCCTGCTGATTCAGTGTTTCTACCTGTAAAAAGCCTTTCAGAAGTTCCTGCAGCTACACTGCTTATACATATGCAAACTTAAAGGAATGGATTGCTGAAAAATCAACACCTCACCTCAGGTGGCGTCGATCAGTCAAGACAAGTTTGGTGTTCAAATGTTGCTTCTTTAGTTTAGCGCTAGAGCTACAAGGTTAATATTGCTAACAAACACAAAGTTAAGTCACCCAAATCTTTTCCATTAAAACATCCTCAAAATGTCTCTCAGCCCCTTCAAACCACATCTAGGTCTCCAATAAATTTGTGTAGACTTGTTGATGTGGTTTAGGACACAGAATGACTTACTGTAGACATCCACTTTACAGGTGTTGTGCTGAATTCCGACTAATGCATGTGTTTGCATGCACACCACACTGGACACTACATTAGTGATTCTGATTCAAATTTAAAACAATCTTCAGGTCAAGAACTCAAGATTGACACTTATTCATAAAAATTGACTTCTGACTTCTAGTCTTTGTTAGCAATGTTAGCCTCGTAGATCCAGTGCTAAACTAAAGAAGCAAAATTTGGGCACCAAACATGTCTTGGCTCATTTACTACATCTGGGGTCAGTGGAACATTTGCTGTCAAGTGTTGTGTTGAGATTTGTTGTGACATTACATCTCTGGAGTGTATATATGATTAACAACTTTCTGAGTAGCCTACAAAGCATTTAAAAAGCTGAAGTGTTGCATGTAAAACAACAAAAAAATTTTCCTATTGATTTAAAATACAGCTTTTTATTTTACATGTAAATTCAATAGGAAGATTAAATAATTACAATTTCACTTAAATTTGCAGATTTTTTAATTCTGGATTTTAATGTCTACAAGGATTTTTTACACTTAGAAATAAATGTGAAATTGTATAACATTGTATAAATGTGAAAGTGTATAACATTTTTCTTGTTTACATTGAACATCAGATGTGAGTTAAAATGATGTGAAATTTCTAAAAGTGGATAAATTGTTAATGTTTAAAATCCTTAAGCATCAAAATACTATTTTATTACTTGCTACTACAGTCAGTAAGATTTATGTTGACATTTTTAGTGTATGAGCTCAAGTCACCAATCCTTCTGCCACTTATACTGAAATAGCTGATAATGAGTGTTTGAGCATGTCATGATGGTTTTACTAGTGAGTTCACTTTTCTACCACTAGGGGTTCTAGGGGTTTCTGCATATGCATGATCAGCAGTAGTTCTGCATGAGTTATAAATCATGTTCTGTCCATAAAAACGTGTGCATGTGAAGTTTATGCATGAAACTGTATGTGTGCACACTTGAAATGCGTCTCCTGAAACACTAATCTTTATTATAGCTCCACATTAGTAAATCACTTCCATTTTAAATACAAAACTTCAAGAGCATTTCTGAAGAAATTGTCTGCTTTTATATAAATACAGTTTGAATGAAGTTCAGTTTTCCAAAAAGAATTATGAACAAATGTGAGGATCATAGTTCTGCCTTTGGCTTCTTGTCACTTAGAGCATTAGCTCACTGGAAAGGTGATGTAACACAGTGACAAACACGGTCCTGTTCCAACTTTATATTTAGAAAGATTATAAAAACACAAACAGTGAAGTTCACAATGTAAAACATCAGATACTCTGTTTTTGTACTGTTTATTTTTTAATACAGTTCAACAGAATGTACTAATCACTGTTTTCTGTTTATACTGGCATTTCACACACTGTCCCAACATGTTCTGGAATTGGGTTTATATATTGAATTTGGGATGAGAGGTACTGGTGCAGTTGATAGAGGATGGGAGTGACGTGAACTGATTGTTGGGTTTGTGTGAGACTCTATTGGCTGAGTTTTGAGTGTGTAGTATAGATTGGAGTTTATTCAGAAAGACAGATAAAAGTAGAAACGGCAGTCAAAACAGGAGCTTATGAAGCAAGAAGATGAAGAAATACATTCTAAACTGACATTGCTGATGAACCTGTTGCTCTGCCCACAACAGAAGCTCAGATACAGAAGTTGCAGAGTGTTGTAGCTTCTTAATTCTCGACACCTCCAGGATCTCAGCGTTTGAATCATTCAGTTGTGTGTGAGACAGAACTGCACGGACTCTCTGAAACACAAAACAAAGCAGGAATAAATCACAACCTGTAAGTTCACAAACTGAGGTGTCAGACTGTCAGTTTATATCTTGTGGTGATGATGACAGATTCTATAATGTGTTATCACTGTATCACCAGGGGGCTCAGACAGCAAGAGGAGTTACACTTATAAGACTTGGAGTGAGAAAATGGGGGGGGGAAAGCCAAAAAGGCAGAAGCTAAAATGGTGTTCTCTGCTGGCAGGTGGTGGCGACATAAGCAGACCTCTTACAAATCAATCCCTTACAATCAGTGATGCTTTAATTCTGTATCCTATATGTAAATGATAACATTCAGTCTACCTGTAGAGAATAAACAGGGCCTGTCAGTTAGTAACAAAAAATAAATGAACTATTAATAATTTTTATTTTTATGTCATGTTGTATCTTAACTTTAATGATGTGGTAGCTTTTTTTTTTTAAATGCAATATTGTGATAATTTTAGAATCTTTGGTAAATATTGTAATATATATTTTAACAGCACAAGTGTGCTTCGTACTGATGTGACAATTTATATGCAAAATATGCACTATAAGTACTGACCAATACTGACCTCTTTCATTCTCTTCAGTATTTTTAATATGGTTTTCTACTCACTTGGGTTTCTCAGTGCCAGAACATGTAGTTTCCTCTGTAGAGAAAAGAATCAAATATAATTTACAGTTTTAACACAGTCAGAATGTAACTGAACAATCTCTTCATCTAGAGCTACTTGATTTTTTACTTTTAAAGATGTTTTTTTCTTAGTAATCATCACATAAATGTCTAAACAGATTTGGAAAAAGACAGAATCCAGTAGTTTTGAAGAGCAAAATATCCCAAATACATGCAGACTTATAGTTCAGCACCGATTCCAGCTATAACTGTAAACACATTTTCTTTTTGTTCTTTAATCATTTTTATTCTGATGTTTATTCCATGTTTAATATCTATCATATGAGAGAGAGAGAAAATGTATAAACTGGCTGCTGCCTGAATTCCAAACTGCTCTTGAAAGGCATCATGAGAACAGCGCCTGAGCCCCGTGAGAGGCATGAGAGTGACCGTACCTGGAGTGGACACACTTTCCTGAGTTTGCTGACTGCTTAAAGTTGTAGTCACTGTTGCTAATATAAGAAGAGAACAAACAAGTTGGTGTGAGTGACACAATATTACAGCTTGATGATCTGCAGGTATGAACAGTATTTCTGATACATGTGATCTTACTTGAAGGTCTTTCAGTGACAGTGAGGTGAACAGTAACCCCCACATCTCCTGCACTGAACCAGTACCAGCCAGCATCACTCTTCTGCAGACCCCTCATCTCCACACTGACAGATCCTTTTCCATCATCACTGAACAGCACTGCTGAATTTTGGGATGCATCAGTCCTTCCACCTAAGAAACACCTCCAGTCTGTAAATCTGCACAACTTCCTCTGTTCTGTCTGATATTCAGCACTGTAGAGAAACTGGACACTGACACTGCCCCCTTCCTGACCACTCACTCTGCTGTTTATCACCGACACAGCAGGATCTGAATAAAGAGGCAGAGAATGAGTGGTGTGAACTCCATCATAAGTGATGCCTTATAAGCTTCAAGTTATAGTGAACATGTTCAGCGTCACACAGAGAGACTCCTTACCTGCACTGACCGCCAGGTACAAATAATCCCTGTCATCAGGGGTCTCTGTCCCACCAATTTCCACAGCACACCAATAATATCCAGAGTCAGAGTCTTGGAGGCTGTTCAGTTCCACAGTAAACATATTCTGGGTTGGATGATCAGTGACTGATGTTCTTCCACTTGTGTTTGTATAGGCTACTATGTTGCAGGTCGACCAGTGATACCCCTCACACCAGTATTTAGGGTTCGATTTGTATTTCTCATCATAAAAGCATGGAATACTGAGAGATCCTCCACGCCTTACAGCTAAATTCTTCAGTGTCTTCAGGCTCTCAGAATCTGCAGAACAGAAGCCAATTAATTTAGCATTACTCTACTCTAGAACTACTTCAGAGGAAAGAAAGGAGGAAGGAGAAAAGATTATCTGATACAACTACAGATGGGAGTCACCACACTGCACACTGAAATGGGCTGATAGGGTTGTGCTTGTTGCATGTCAAGTGTTTCCATTTCATACATAACAAAAATGACAGGAATGGGCTTCTAGCTGCTTTTGTTGCATGATGATGATGATGATGATGATGATGATGATGATGATGATTGATAATAATAATGATAATAATTAATTAATAAATGAATGAAATGGAACCTACAGTTATATCAATACATAGAACATCAAATAAATGTATGTGAAATATCTACTATCGTCATCATATCTTCATCATTTGAGACATAAACATTGAGCCGGACCTTCTTTTTCAGTCTGCGCATGTTAATACGTAAAGACGTGCGGTCTAAAAAACCTCTGCTAAACACAAACCGACATCTCTGACTTGTGAAATATTATTTCAGGCTTTACTGGGCGACTCACAGCAGTACACGCACTTTATATTAGCATGTTTTTATCTCTTTACTCAGTGATGTTACATCTCTCAAATTTAACACATTTAAATTCTTGCATAGTGTAGCTTTAAATTCTAAATCAGTGAGAAAATCATTGAATCTCTAAATCAATAAACAGTAAAATTAGTACAAAATATTTTTAGATGAATATATCATAACTGCAGTGTCTTAAGAAGGTACAGAAGTGTTACTTGCTATTGGCTTTATCTGTTATATTAGGCAACACATTTATAACAGGCAATTTCTTATAACATTACAAGTGATATGATACTAAATGTTTGGAAAAAAAAAAAATCCAACAGGTGAGAATCATAGTTTGCGTGAATGAAAAATGATTTTTAAAAATTACTTCCTGAATTAAATTGTCTGCTGCAGAATCGTGGCATCCTCAAACTGCACCACACCAGAAAGAGGTTTAAAAATGCCCACCAGGAGGTGATTTGATCAAATAAGCTTTTTAGTGATTTACTCAAATTCCTCCCTCCATTATTAACCTGTTATTTTCATTAAAAATGCATTATTCATTGCAAAGTGAAGAAAATGGGTCCATTACACTGGACTAATAATAGGAACAGGAAAGATACAGCACTGATCTTACCTGAGATACAGAGGAGTAACACAAAGAGAATTAAAGAACTCATGAGTGAGTGAAAGCGCATGTTTCTGTAAGAGACTCCAGAGACAAATACTTCCTGCCTCTGAGTGAAGCAGCTCGACTGCAGTGCAGTTCCTGTTTTTTTTCTATTCTATTTTTTCCCCTCTGTCTCTTGCTGTTATTGACTGTGTAATAAGGCCCATTTAAATGGATGGATGGATGGATGGATGGATAGCACTTTGAGCTGCCACTGGTATGAAAAGTGCTCTATAAATAAAGAGATTATTCCTTTTGTGACATGCTACATTAGAACAGAAATAGATGTAGACTCAATTTCAATCAAATTTAATAAGAATTTTGGGGGATGCCAATAATTGTGACACATTTTGTCATTAAGAAAATGAGTTGTTTTTTTTGTTTTCTCTCTCTCTCTCTCTCTCTCTCTCTCTCTCTCTCTCTCTCTCTCTCTCTCTCTCTCTCTCATATATAGATGTTTTGCTCATCTATCTTCATCAGGTTGCCAGTAATTCTGGAGACTGTAAAGAAACAAGCTTATTAACACTTTAAATGGTCACTATCAGTGTGCTTGGCCTCCTGCTGGCCTGATTGTGAACTGCATCAGTCATGATGACTTTCCATCTCAGTTCAGTACTTAAAAGAAGAACTCTGTTGTTGCTGTTAAAATTTTACAGGTTACTCATGTACACTTTGATTTCTCAGCCTCTTTACTGTAACAGCAGGTCTACTGAATTTATCTTCATTACTTTACTTTGTCCAGGTTGTAATAATTAATCACACTATTCATTACTTTATTAATTACATTATAACTATGATATGTTTAAGTAAAGTATTAACTTAGAAATGTGGCTCCAGGACTCAACATTAGCTTTAGTTAGAATAATTAAAGCAGCTCTTGTTAGCAAACAAGATAGCATAAGTTGAGCGTTGTCTCTTAATTACCTCTTATTGTCATGAGTTCATTTCACAGGAAATGTTGCAATATGGTGTCTCCATGTTAAAGTGCAGGTTTGGATACATTTTGTTTTGTTCACCATTATGGTGTTTCTTGTTCAAATCAATGATATTTTTGTTGATGCTGCTAAATTTGCTGGTCAACAACAATGAAATGTTTTGGATCTAGAGATCTCTTTTGTGGTGAAGGTAACATACATGACTTATTTATGTACTGTAACAGAATTTTCCATTATTTGAGTAAAAGAATTGTCAGTAAATTTTACTGATTTTTATAGCGTATAGGTGGCCTACTACAACACTGGAGCCAAGCTGTGGAGCAGGGGCAGTGAAGGGAGGCCCTTAATGAGAGCCAGCTGATGTTGATTTGGCATCAGCAGCATGGGAGCCTTTAAAAAAGAGCAAAGAAGGACAAATGGAGAGAAGAGGGATGAGCAGCAGTAAACAGCAGCAGAACGAAGAGTTGAAAAGCTCACCTTTTGAGAAAAGACCAGAAAAGTCTAGTAGCCACAGAGAGACAGATAATGAGGCAGATAAACTAAAGTAAATGTGGTGCTGTTTATTAGAGTAAAGGTCATCAGCGCACAGGCTGGAGAAATCAGACTACCTGCTGAACCTGAACTCACACTTCTCTATGTGCGGTTTTTTCACTCTCAGGTTCTCCCTCACACGGGGTGAATAACTTGTGGTTTTCCCAACAAATACAGCTGGTTTAAAAAGAGCAGTGCGGATGGATTTTATCCGGTTTTTCGACCCTGCACTCTGACTGCTGGAGAGGGCATGATGTAACGTGTGTGTGTGTGTGTGATGTGATGTGATGTGATGTGATGTGATGTGATAGCTATGAAAGGTATGACAGATGTGTGGTACGTAATGGTGTGTTGTGCACCTTGATGGAGGGACATATGTGGCAGCGCTCCTCTTACACTTTTAATTGACGGGACCATATGGGACGGGACCCCCGTCTCCAGGTAGAGTATAAAGTTGCGCTTGTTTTTGCCACGAGGCAGAGACTGTTTTTCTGCTAAACGACTCTAGGCAGAGTTTTAAAAAGTGCATGTAAGAGAGAGAAAGTTCGCTACGGGCAGGATTTTGTGCAGAACCAGCATCATGGATCCCTCAGCTGTCACCTCTCTGGACTCCGACAGCATCAACGGACATCATCTACATCTCAGACGAAGATGATAGTCAAACACAGGGAAGATCCAGTGTTATTTGTTCAAACATTTTGATGTGCATCGTGTTGAGGGACGAGGAGTTTCTTCCACAAAGAGAATACATTGTTATTTCTGAGGAGGAGAGACACAAATCAATCAGCAGCACAGAAACCAAGCCTGGTGGTGACCAACTCTATTAGTGTAACTAATAGTCGTGTAACTTTTTTTCATGTTATATTTTTAGTAAAAATCATGCAACCATGCAAGGTTGGTTCAGTCATCTGTCATCCCAGTTTGTCTTGTCTCTGTGTCTACAGTAACAGTAACCTCCACATCTCCTGCACTGAACCAGTACCAGCCAGCATCTCTCTGCAGACCCCTCATCTCCACACTTTTCCATCATCACGGAGCAGCACTGCTGAATTCTGGGATGTGTTAGTCTTTCTCACTGTGTAGCAGCTCCTGTCTTTAAATCCGCATGACTGTATCTGTTTATTCTGATATTGCACTCTAGAGACACTGGACACTGACACTGCTCACTTCCTCAGCACTCACTCTGCTGTTCATCACTGACACAGCAGGGAGGCAGGGAATGAGTGGTGTAAGCATGTCCTCTATGATAAAAGATGTTTTACAAGACTTTAGAGTGAACATGTTCAGCCTCACACTGAAAGACTTTTTACCTGCACTGACCATCAGGTATAAATGATACCTGTTGTTAGGGCTCCTGCTCCCACCAATTTCGTCACATGCAAGTGTATGTCATCTTCAAAACAACACTGGCTCCTCAGTGTTGCAGTGTTGTCCTCCTGGCTGCAGCTTACACACATTAGCCATTCATACAGTGGAGTGGTACAGGGGGCCTATACTGGAAATTCTCACCAATTGTAATAAAGTTCTACAGACATTCTTTCTCTGAAATAATAAATCAGTATCTTTTCTTGCTTAATTAAAAGATTCTGTGTCAGAGAGCACGCTGCATTTGTTTACTCTCGGCAGTTTTCTGATTTGTGATCGTGCAAACATTTCAAGCCTATAGATCTATATGTGGATGTAGCCTGAAATGTTTATCTAGTACTGTGTTTAATAATGGCCATGAACGTTTTGTGTTTTTATTGCTTTTCTTAGTTTAGTTACATGTATTTTGTATCTTGCTGGATGTTTGCATCCTTTACACCATGCAGAGGTAGTAAGTCTTATGCTGACATTATACGATGAAACTTTCATGCAAGTTGTTGCATGTTGAGTTGCATGCATCATAATTCCCATGCAACTTGACAGTTACATAAAGCAATTAAAAAAAAAGTTGCATGCAACGTATTCAGTTACTCCATTATTTAGCCAAATTAGCAGCACATTTTTTCGGTACACTGTATAATTCTTTTACAAGTAAAGTCATCAACACTGTGTTATTTACACATTGCAAGCATTTTATAGCCTTTGTGCAAAACCCATGTGGATGCCAACCCAATTTGAGTTATTTGTAGAAATAAGGGACAGAGAGGAGAAAATAAATCATCTAACCATAAAATCATCAATAAACAGTGGCACAAACAGCTTAAACAGCTGTTGCCGTTAGCTCACTAGTTAAGCTGGTTACAGAAAGGTTAACTTTGAGCAACTCATGCTTGTTTGTCTAAAAATGCCAGAATGAAAAACTACTAAACTTAAATAGAGTTGATCAGGATCTCATTTTGTCATCCAGTAAATTTTCTTTATCATTTTCTTATTCGTTAACCCAGTAAAATCAATGATTTGAAATGTTTACTATAATTGTGTGATGCTTTATCAGCATCCTGAATGACTGACTGACTGTTTCATGAAACTTTTTTAATGAAGTTGAGATGATTGCAACTGTTGCGGCTGAGTTTAAAGTGAATTCCAAGACAATTACATTATGCAACATTATGCAACTAAACATTATGCAACTAAAACAAACACAGTTTTATTTCATGTAGGTTTCAAGTAAATATAATTGCATTGAAGTTTCACTGTCTAAGGCCTGCCTTAGAGCTGATTGGTTCACACTTAATGTTCACATTTAATGTGTTTCACAAAATTGTCTTCACTACTGAGTAAACATTTTTACGGACACTGGTGTGAAGTTGTTCCTGGGTTCACCCTTAGCAAGAAGGGCTCGATGTAGAGTTTCTGTAGATTTTTTTTGAAAATGTTTTAATAACTGACCATCATAACATTGTAGGTACAACTGTTAACTCAGTAGAAAAGACACATTTAAACCATTCAAATGTTCGTTCAAGTTGTCATGGTTCTATATGCTCTCACTGGCTTCTTTATTAGGTACCTTGTATCTACACTTGAGGTCCAACAGTATCATGTCTACCTACAATATATGTGCACTTTGTAGTTCTACAATTGAAGGGGTTTGCTCCAAAACACATCAACCACTTTCAAGACCACTTTTTTTAAAGATTTACACTGTTGAGAGTGCTATATTATGATTTAATACTACCTTTGTTAGAGACGTGTAAATGTCTGTCACACATCCCTCTGGCTCTGAGGCGCATTCTGACTCCATTTCCCAGAATCCTCAGAGATCACCTGACTCACGCGACCTCTGACCTTCCCTCACGCTCCAATCAGCACTCACCGCCTAATAACTCTGTTCACCTGTGTTCCATGTCACATGACTTGTTTTAGTTTAGTTTAGTTTAGTTTTTAAGCCCGGGCTTTAGCTTAGCCAGAGTGCGAGGTATTGCTTCTCTTGTAGAACTACTGAGTGTTTCCCCTGTGTTTTTGTGATTTGCCTTCTTGTGTTTGGACTGATTTTCTGGATTTCTGGTTTTTCCCTTTTGTCTTTAGCCTCTGGTTATGGTTGCCATTTTGTACCTTTTTGCTGTTTTGGATCTGACCCATGCCTGTTTACTGACCACCCTTGTCAAACCCTTGGATATTAAAGCCTCATCTTTAGTTTTTACCGCGAGCGACTGGCCCTTT